AACATGACTCCCAGGTGTCCTCCCCAGGCTATGTCACCCCAAATGCCCTCCCTCCCACATGCCCTGCCTGAGAGCCCTGCCCCAGGCCCTCTGGCACGCTGCCCGGTTTACTTGCTTCAGAGCACTTAGCACCAGCCCACGTCACCTTAATTGTTGATCGCTTCACTTTATTGTCTGTCTCCTTCCAGTGAAGCGCCAGTGGCTTGAGAACAGGGGTCTTCTCTATCTTGTTTGCTGACTTAGTGTCTACGGGGAAGGTACTCAGCAAATGTCACCGGATACGTGCTTGGACGGATGGCTGGACGAAAGGCGGGATGGGTGGATGGACAGAGGGAAGACCCTTTATGGGATCTAAAATGCACTGTGTCAAGATTGTTGTCGTTGATAGGGGTCCATCTGGGGAGATGCTGGCTGTGTCGCCGCATCCTCGCCCAGGCCAGCAGCTGCCAAGGGAGGCCCAGGCCCAGGGGATTCTGGGAAAAGAATTTTCTGGCTAGGGCCAACAGCTGTTCTGCTCTAGAAACATCCAACCACATGCTTTTCGGTGTTTGTGCAAGATTGCTCTAATTTTGTTTTCTTTCATAACTCTTTCTTGGGATGGGGAGAGATAGACCCATTTTCAGGATTTCCTAGAAGATTGTTTCTCCATACCACCTGAAGGCTGACATCAGTAATTCATTTGGGGGAATTACTCAGGGGCCTTTCACCATTTCCTCTTCAAATAGAACTATTCTTTGCAGAAGCCCCAGCTGGTTGCCTATCCTCCCCATCTCACTTGGGCACAGAACCCCAATATTATATTGGGAGGACTTATATTGGGAGGCCAGGGTTTCAGGGAGGCCAGGCCCAGCCCCAGCCCAGAAGGGGACCCTGTAATGTGTGTGAGCTATCTTCAGGACCTCCATCCCCCAGCCAGTGTGTTGGGGGAGGAATGGGGCTGTGAGCAGCTCTGGAGGGTTTCCCTCATCTTGAAAGACATACACAGGGGCATCTGGGTGGTGAAGTTGGTTAAGCATCCAACTCTTGGTTTTGGCTCAGGGTGTGATCTCAGGGGCATGAGATCAAGGCCCCACACTGGGCTCTGTGCTCAGTGCAGAGTCTACTTGAGACTCTTTCCTTGTCCCTCTGCACCTTGTGCTTGTGTTTTCTTTGTGTTTTCTCTAAGTAGATGTATCTTAAAAAAAAAAAAAAGGGAAGAAAGAAAGGAAACATATGAAGGGGCATCTGGGTGTCTCAGTTGGTTAAGCATCTGCCTTTGGCTCATGTCATGATCCAGGGTCCTGGGATCGAACACCGTGTCAGACTCCCTGCTCAGCGGGGAGCCTGCTTCTCCCTCTCCCTCTGCCCCCTGCTTGTGCTCTGTCTCTTGCTAAAAGGAAGAAAGAAATAAAGAAAGAAAGAAACATACATGAAGGAATGTACCTGAGACATGTCCTATTTCCTGATCCTCAAAAGGATCAAGTTTATTTTGTACGCATAGTCAGAGCATGGGGGGGTACACATGGCAGAGGCTGGGGGAGGCTGATGACCCAGGTGGTTTCCATTCTCAAAGGGTGGGCAGAGCTCAGCAGGAATGTGCTTCAAACCAGTGGTGCCCACCCCTGCACCTCCTAAAGCATGCCCACTCCTGAGCCCCTATCCATTCCGGTTGTCTGATTCTCAGGGGGTAGGGGTCTTAATCTCTGTGGAGTTGATACCCTCCTGCCCTGGCCCCCCATTTTTTTGAGACGTGGGGAGCCTGTGAACTGTGGAAACAGACCAGGGGCAGGGAAACCCTCCTGACAGTGGCCTGGAAATGCCTTGCCAGAGATGCCCTTGCCGTCCTGAAGGGCCCCAGTCAATCTGTTCCCTTCCTTTCCTAGGACTGGAAGGAAATTTGTGAGGAAAGCACAGCCCTGGATGATAACTCTTCTTCGGGGAGGAGCACATTCAGAGCATGTGCACGTTGGGTTGTCCCAGCTGAGGACTCTCCGAAGGTTCCAGAGGTCTGGGGTCTTCTATGGACAGAGTGCTCATTCGTTCTCCCTCAACCTTGCTGAGGCTCTTGTGGGAGCAGCCCTCCCTGGCCGGTTCTGGGGAGCAATGAACCAAAAGCTCCTTAAAAAGCACCAGGGAGATTGAGAGATTGCCATTCCTTCTTAACTGTTGCTACTTTGCTTTCACAGTCGGGTTATGACCTCCACCATTCCCTCTGAGGAACAGAGAGAAAGGGGCAGAGACTCCAAATCAGAGAGAAAGAGGCACAAATAGAAAAAGACACTTACAAAAATGACAGAAACCAGAAGACAGACCCACATTCTTTTTTTCAGTGATTAAAAGAAAGTACTCATGGAGAACCTACTATGTGCGGGACTGCACACCCACCCTTAATGGATACACCACAAGACGGAAGTCTGTCCACACCAGCTCCACAGACCCTCCGCGGGATTTTGGGCAAGAGAATAAAGAGCATGCTGTTCCCTCTCAGGCCAGTAGGTGGCGCCATGTCAGAGGGAAAGTTAGGGGAGTCGCTGGATTTGATAGCCACCTATGGACATAAATTCAATTTCATCTAGTTCTCTGAGTGCCATTATGTGCAGGGCAACAGGCAGGACACTCGAGGGTACATAGGATGAGAAATGCAGGGAGCCTGGTGGCTCAGTTAAGCAACTGCCTTAGGCTCATTTCGTGATTCTGGTGTTCTATGATTGAGCCCCACATCTGGCTCCTTGCTCAGTGGGGAGTCTGCTTCTCCCTCTCTCTCTCTGCCTGCCACTCCACCTGCTTGTGCTTCTCCCTCTCTGTCAAATAAATAAATAAAAATTCTTAAAAAAAAAAAAAGGATGAGAAATGTACGCTCGCTGTCATCATGGAGTTTATTGTGCTCTTGGGGACTGGAAGGATAAGCTCCCAGGTCACAAAAAAGGTGAAAGGGGTAAGTGCCTCAGGAATGGTTCAGAGGAAGGCCTGCATGGATCTTAGGACCAGAGACTGCAGAGAAGCCATCTCCCACCCACTCACATTGTATGGGAGGGAACTGAGAAGGGAGCTAGGTGACTAACCCATGGTCCCACAGCAATTTCAGACTCCCAATCTGCTGACTCCTCCAACAGTGCTCTTTTCACCAAACATTCTGCCTCAATAACTGGGGCTGCTGCCCCACCTTGAGATTCAAAATACTGCCTTAGTTTTGCCATTACCTCTCAAAATGCCCCCTCTGATGCCTCCTGCAGGGGACTCCAGCTAGGTCAGTCCTCGTCTCAGGGACGGCAGCTGTCCTCATGAAACGTCCTGTGGTGCTGGGGTCCCCTTGCACCACTCACGAGAGCTGACTGTGTGCGCCTCTACCTGGAGGTGCTCAAAAGCAGCCATGGTGGGCGCAGTTACACCATGGAAATTGGCAACAGCTATAAATCAGAACCTTCCCCTTGCCCCCCACCTCTGCCCACCACCCAGGGAGCTGCACACCACTGATTTAGCATTCCTGCTTTATAGAGGAGGTGAGGTCGTCTGCCAAAGACACACAGCTTATAGGTGGTGGAGCTGAGACCCCTCCCGGGCAGTTTGTCCTGGGGTGCTTAGCTTAGGGCAAAGCCAAGAGAACCTAGAGCCCTTGGATGCTTGGATGCAGAGAGGTCTAGGCTAATCCTTGGTATCTTGTGTGGGTGCTACCCATGGCGGCATCATTAGCATGATGTTAATATTGGAACAAGAAGCAGTTTGGGCAAAATGGGAACTAGTCCAGCTTCGGATAGATTGGATTTGAAGCACGGTGTTGGAGATGCTCACACGTGGAGGCTAGGAGAGAAGTCGGCGCAGGACACTGAGACAGGCAGGATAGAGGTCTGTTCTTGACTAAACTGACAAAAGCTAGCTAGAAACATTTTCCTTTCTTAGAGTATTCAGGTAAGAAGTGCGAGATTCACCCTTTGTATGGTTCTCATCTGTGTTGACACTGAGGCATGACCCAGCAGGGCAGGAGTGGGGCGCTGGGCACTTGCCCCACTTGCTCCCTGGTCAAGGTGCAGAGTGAGGACTTGGTACTTGCTGAATAAATGAGGGAATGACCTGATTTCACCCCACACAAAGCTGACTCAGCACTGCCATGGACCACACATTAAAACCCAAGTATGTGCCTCATAACTTCTAAGATGATCTAGAATGCTGGCATTGTTATAAGAGTATGGATGTGGGGGGCACCTGGGTGGCTCAGTTGGTCACCTGTCTGCCTTTGGCTCAGGTCACGATCCCAGGGTCCTGGGATCGAGTCCTGCGTCAGCCTCCTTGCTTGGCGGGGGGGCCTGCTTCTCTCTCTGCCTGCCACTGCCCCTGCTTGTGCTCTCTCTCTCTCACACAAATAAAATCTAAAAAAAAAAAAAGAAGAGTATGATTTGAAATAAAAAATTACTTTCTTTTTCTCCTTCTTTTCCTTCTTCTTTTTCAGCATTTTTAGAGCTGGAAGTGAGCTTAGGCATCAACTATTACAATGACCCATGGAATTTCTTGTGCCAGGGGATCTGGAAGGACAAAGTCCCAGGTCAAGAAAAGAGCGTGAAGATAGTTAAGTGCTTTAGGAGGAAAGGCTGTGAAGACTTTAGAAGGTCTGAGATGGCCGAGAAGCCAGTTTGCCTGTGAGGAGCAGAGGGCCAGAGACCGTTGCGTGGGGGAGCACCCGTGCCTGGCTCACTGGCCCGGCCTGCCTTGCGCTGTCCTGTTCGCTGCCTGGCTCTGGGCCTCGGTTTGTCCCTCCAGTAAAAGCAGAGACTGTGCTCTGGTTCTGGGAGGGGAAATGAGTCGATGAAAATCCACATAATAGGAAGACAGCTTGGGCAGATGAGCAGAAATAGCCCTGGATACCAACCAAGGAGGCTACAATATGCAAATGAGTTGACTGTGGCTTTCCTCCTGGTTGGCTGAAGGGACCCCGACATCACAATGCGCGGGGTTTCTCCACTCCAAAGGATTGTGGCCAAAAAAAAAAAAAAAAAAAAAAGGAAAGAAAAAGAAAAAAAGGAAGAAAAATCCACGGACCAGACAGGTCTCTTAGCTCCCTCTCTTTGTCCGAACGGGAGGAGAAGCGATGGAACCTCTCTACCATGCTGGGTCCATCCTCATGCAGGTGAACACCTTACAAGGGAAGAAGATGGTGGAGAGTGGCCTCCAGTCTGGAGACTTCTCCCTCCCTCAGTCCTGGCCTTCCTGCCTCCTGCCCCCAGCCGACCTGGAGCTCCTGCAGCAGAAGGTAGCGGGGGTGCAGCGGGAGCTGGAGGACTTTAAGAAGGAGGCGCTGAAGGCCATCCGTTACCTGGAGGACGCCTTCTGCGAGATGAACGGCGAGCTGGCACAGCAGGAGGAGCAGGCGGCCCGCGTGAAGCAGCGGCTGAGGGAGGAGGAGGACCGGGGCGTCGTGCGCAACAAGGTCCTCACCTTCCTGCTGCCCCGCGAGAAGCAGCTCCGGGAGCACTGCAAGCGGCTGGAGCGCATGCTGCTGGGCTCCGGCCGGGACGCGCTTGGCGCCCCCAGGAAGATCCAGACCGACTGATGCCTCCCCCCGAGGGAGCCCAGCTTCCAGCAGAGCAGCCAAGCAGAAGATTTTGTTTTCAGTGGGAGGACCAACCCTAAGTCCTCATCCATTCACTTCCCCTCCCCATGTCCACTGCTTTCCTTCTACCTCAATAACACCTTGCTGAGAGGCGAACAGGCCCCAGTATGTTCTTTGGTGAAGCTCGCTTGCCCAGCATCATCACAGAAGGAGGTGCCCCACCCCTCCTTTCAGACACCTGTAACTTTCACCGTTAACTGGTTTCCTGTTTGTAACGGTCATGTCGCTCAAATGTATAACATGGTTGTTTTTAATCTTCTTAAATGGATGTGTTGAACAGATTTACCTTTCTTTTCATGACTCAAGGCTCTCCTGGTCGTTATTCAATGATGCATGGTCCCCTGAGAGGGGTCGATCGTTCCCCGGAGCCCTGACCGGCCTCCGAGGACTGTCCTTTTGTGGTTCACATCCCCGCCTCGTGGGCTTTTCTGCCTGCTTTCCTAGTTAGACTGCCCTGTCTCACCTGTGTTTCCTGATTCTGGCGCAGCTGAACTTCCTTCGCATTTAGTCTGGCCAAAGAGATCAGACACAGCTCATTAGGGCTGGGGTGGGTGGGGTCTGGTGAGTTTCGTGCACAGATGCACCGAGCCTCAGACCCCGTGAGTAGGTGGGTTCCAGAGAAGGGCCGCTGGCTTTCACGCCTGACCCATGGAGCAGAACCGGTTACGATGCCCAGACTTTTCTCAGGCCGTGTCCTCACACCATCCCCCCTACTTCTCAGGCCCCTTTGGGCGCAAGTGCCGCTTCCGCATTGTGCCCAGGGGGAGGCTGACTGTAGTTCAAGGCCGGTCGTCCGTGCTCATCACCCTGCTGCCCATTTGGAACCACATCAGGCTCTTCATGGACTTACTCTTCTGGTGACTTGGGGCTTCCTTCACTGTCACTGTGTCTTTTAGTTCCAGTGAGACTCTGGTTCATCGAGTCGCATTTCCTCTCTGTGGTCCCCCCACCAAATGCTGTCATGTAATGGGTTTCTCCCCCAAACTGCAGAAGTGAGAAGTCAGGGGCCTCTGTCCTCCCAGCCGGGGTCTCATAGCCTTGCCAGACCCTCTGACATTCTTCTTCAGCCCCATCTGCCCTCCTGTTTCAGAGAATCACTCCCAACAAGATTCGGGCATCTGGAAACCCCACGCTGACCTTCACACAAGGACCCCATGATCCCCTGCTGATAGCTCTATCCACCTGTCACTGTCCACCCTGAAGGCTGCACCCCTATTTTAACTCCAGACTGTTTCTGCCTTGGAAGGTACAGCTGAAGAAATAGTAATACGGACACTAGCGACATTCCCATCACCGCCGGAGCTACGGTTGTCACGAATGAGCTGTGTTCCCGGCCCCAGGCTCGGCCTCTGGAAGGCAGGTATAGCTCTAACCTTCACTTTCAGACTCCGAGGAAGCCACAGCTCAGAGAGGCTAAATTGCCCAAGGCCACATAGCTGGTAAGTGGTAGAGCTGAGATTTGAGCCTAGGAATGTCTAACTCTAGAGGCTTTGCTTGTTTTAACCACTGTGTAGTATTTGGGGAACTTTAGGAGCGTCTGCTGAGCTCTGCTTGAGTACACGAGGGGAGCTTCGTGATCTTGCTAAGGTGAGCTCTGTGAGAAAGGACCGTTTTGCGGGGTGGGGGGGGGCACTCCTGTACCTTTAGAACTTGTGTGGGATGCCCGTGTGTGTACAAATGTGTCTTAGAAGGAGAACTTGATCGGCTACATAGAAGAAGGGCTTTAAAAGAATCAACTTCTGGGGCCCCTGGCTGGCTCAGTCAGTAGAGCAGGTGACTCTTGATCTTGGGATCGTGAGTTCAAGCCCCACATTGGGCACTGCACACACTTAAAAAAAAAAAATCAGCTGCTTTGTACAAGAAAACTGGCTCTAATGTGAATTCATGTGGAAAGGGCTTTGCGTCGACTGTAGGTTCAGCGGGTAAATATGGCTGCTCAGGATTGATGGTGTTTGTGGGAATTCTGGGAGGAGGGGTAAAGGAGCCCAGGCCAGAGACCAGGAGAGACCAGGTGTAAGCTTCCAGTTGTCCTTTCCCCTCCCAGCGGAGCTGCGGGGATAGTGCTTAATTCTCCCAGCAGCAAGGTGTGATGACACATGTGAAGTATTGTCAGCCAGGGAGGCTTACCCAAGTCTTGGTGTTGAAGGTTTTACTGGTGGGTAATTACTGGCCTGGAGCCCCTCCATGGCTGACCTTGTTTACTCAGCCTCTAGCCCCTCCCAAGGTCAAGCTGAATCATGTGATTAGCATTAACTATCTGGCAAGGCCCAAGGCCCCGGGTTAAACAGAGGGCATCTTATCAGAGAGCAGACCGCAAGGACTTGCTTGGAGGTTATCTCCCAGGGCCTGTGAGGGGCCAGACCTTTCTTGGAACGTGCGGGATTGGAGTATCTCCCAGCTGCCGAGTTTCCCTCTACCTCGGGGCCCACAAGCGGCCCCCATGGTGCGTTTTGTTCCCTCCGAGGGACTGAAGCCAGCTTCCCAAAAGCGTCTGTCTTTCGTGGCTCTTACCCGCCCAGAGAATTCGTTCATTCTAAGCCTTCTCCTAACTGTTGGAGGGGACCCTGCATCCAGCAGCTGTAATAAACTGTCATCATGTGTATAACAGCTTTTCTTACTCTGCAAAGAGTTCTAGTGAATCACTGAACTTGAGGGTGTTCTCGGGGACCCATGACACCATGTCGGATGCATTTGACGTTTCATACACAATCACCTTGTGAGCAAGACACTGTTATCCCTGTGACAGAAGCAGAAACCGAGGCACAGAGGGTACGTACCGAGGATGTACAGCAGGACTCTGGGGCGACCTCTCTTGACTACCATCCCACACCAAAGCAAGGGACTTGCAGTGATGGGCTGGCTCCCTTTCCTGGGAGGTGCCATAGGGATGGCCCTGAGGCCCTCCCACAGCAAGGAGTCATCCTGGAGTGACGAGGAGGAGGACGAGGAAGAGGCAGGAGGCTTGGGAATTTCCTGGCTTGGAGAGCTCAGGTGCACCTGTGTCCAGGTTGGGTTGGACAGGCGCCCCACCTGGAGACTGGTCCTCGCCTGGTTTTCTCTGCGGCAGGATTTCAAGCTTGCTTCTCTTTCAGGAGCTGCAAGTCACCTGATGCCCATGATGCTGACTTCTTTGAGGAGACTTTTTTTTTTTTTTCAGGTAACAAGACATCTGAAGTAGGTGATTGGTTCAGTAAGTCAGCAGTGACAGGTATGAGTTGGTATCCCGGCATCCTCCCTCCACCTTCCTCACCACCCCTCCCAGCCCATGGTCACGTGATTGTGGTTGTAGGCGTGCCAGAATTGTGTCGTCGCTCAGCAACTTCCAACAGGGGAAAGAAGGGGCAGGGCTTTTCTTGCAAGCCTCCCATTCATCAGAAAGGAAACCCTTTTGCAGGATACCCCCCGGCAAATTTTCTCTGACATCTCTTTGGCTAGACCTGAGGTGTTCGCCTGTCCTAAACCAGTTGTGGACAAAGAGGACAGCAATGGCCACAACTCAGCCCCAATGGGCACCTCAGTGACCCAAGATCTGAGCTTCCAGCCGTGAGTGTGTCTGTTGGGTGGTAATCAGCCCCATCTGCCACAACCTCAGCCTTACCTTTTCTACTTAATAGATACCGAGGGTCAGGGCGCCTGGGGGCTGACTCGGTCAGTTAAGCATCTGCCTTCGGCTTGGGTCATGATCTCAGGGTTGTGGGATTGAGTCCCATGTCAGGCTCTGTGCTCAGTGGGGAGTCTGATTGGGATTCTGTCTCTCCCTCTGCCTTTCCCCCCAGTTGCTTGGGTGCTCTCTCTTTCAAATAAATAAATCAATAAAAAAAAACAACAAAAAACTGGATGGTTTTCTCCCTGCCAATAGCCATAGTTCTCAAACGCTTGTACAAGCTACAATACTCTTCTTACTGCTCCTGGGCAACTCCTAGCCCATAGAGGGCTCCTGAGATCTTACTACACATGGTCCCACCTGAGGGCGCCTGGATGGCTCAGTTGGTTCAGCAGCTGACCCTTGATTTCAGCTCAGGTCATGATCTCAGGGTCATGGGACTGAGTGCCCTGGTGGGCTCTGTGCTCAGCAGGGAGTCTGCTTGAGATTCTCTTTCTCCCTCTCAAACAAATAATTAAATCTTTAAAAAAAAAGAAAAAGACACATTGGCTCCATCTTAGGAAAACCTGTGGCAGCCAAGGGAGCACTCCCTGGGACCCCAAGTCCTGTGTCTGCTGCAAACGGAGAGCTCAGGTGAGGGGCAAGATGGCTGAGCGCAGGAGAGCTGAACACGTAGCCTTTCCCATGGGAAGCGACAAAGTTCGGCTGCCACAACTTCAGTTTTCCTGACAGCGCCGGGAAGGAGAAGGCTCCGAGGGACAGAAGGGCTGGGCAGAATTGGGAGGTGTGGGTGGGAAGCAAGGGTGTGGGTCTGGGCATTGGCTTCTTTCCCCACACAGAATGTGACCTCCTGTTCAGATCCAGTCCATTTAGTAATTCCTGAAGTGCTAAGAACATCAAGCATTGGCCATCGTTCCTGCCCCTTGGACATTCATCAGGTGTAGATCTTCCCTTGTTTCTCCCTGGAAAAACAGTTGGGCAGCGTCTCAACATGTTGAGCATAGAGTTATCATGTGACCAAGCAATTGCACGTATAGGTATGTGCCCAATGAACATAGGTCCGCACAACACTTATACGTGAATGTTCATAGTATTAGTCGCAATAGCCCGAAAATGGAACCACCCAAATGTCTGTAAATGGATAAATAGGGTGTGGTACATCCATACGCCAGAATATTATTTGGCCATAAAACAGGAAGGAACTACTAATCATATAATATTGTGCTAAGCAAAGAAGCCAGTCATGGAAGTCCATATGTTATAGGACGCCATTTACGTGCAAGGTCTGCAACAGGCCAATCTGTAGAAACAGAAGGCAAATTAGTGGGTGCCTGGG